AACTCTAATGAAATAAGAAAATTCGAGAAAAAGGAAACTCGTATCTTTTATGTATTGTCTGTCCCGGATCATATCATTACTGTTGGAGGATGAACAATTGGACAACTTGGATTGCAGATTGTAATCATTCGACTTCAAGAAAAGTAAAGGAGTTTGTAGAATTCATCAAATGTATAATTCTTATCACAATTTCTATTTAAACACAATGCAAATCCTTGGTAGGAATTGAAAATTGTTTTATTTTTTTGCTGTGTATGATTATGTAAATTCCCAATAGTTTTCTTTTGGGACGATACCAAATGTGAGGGCCAAAGGAAATGCATCTATATGTGTTGCTGACATTTTAAATCGCATGCAAGCTGAAGAACCTGTTAATACTTCAGATGTAATTGTTATCACTTAAGACACAAAATCTCGTTAGATTTGTGAATATTCAATATCATTTCCTATTTTTAATGGTTTTTTGTTTTCTACCACAGATGGGGATTCCAGAAATAAATTCTCTTATCCTACTCGATAGAGAGGTATACTCTCTTTCTTTCATATTTGACAGTTGTTTCTGAAATTTCTTTAAATGTAATTTCAGGTACACTGATGTAGTAACAGGCTTTTATCTGTTGTCAAATGATAAAGATATAACTTCAAAGAGATTTGTAATGAAGTGGAAGCAAATGATAATAACTGATAAATAAAGATAACATGAGCGCTTTAGTTGGTCAGCAAACAAAATTTTCAAGCTCTCTGTACTAATAATGGTTAGGTAAATTCATGTGTTGTTCCAACCAAAATTCAATTATTTGGTTCTCTCTGTCTGTCTTTATCCTGTCAACTGCCAGGATTCATGTTTTATTAATCAGTGTCAACTGCCATGTGAATAATTCCATTGAGGTTTAAGGTCTAAATTTGTCCTTAAAATCTTCTTTTGTTGGGAAAATAGAATAGGTCGGGTTAGCAGATCAGGATTTTGAAATGAAAGGATGTTTTCTCGTATGAGGTATATACAATGAAACACAAGGACAAAGGAAGAGTAGAGGTTGAAGAAACTAGGAAACACTCCTTAATTAGTTTAGGCATGGTTAACAGGGTTTAATTGTGTCCTCTTGTATGGAAGGAAGATAGATCTTTCTCATAGCTCGGACAGGTGCCCAGTTTATTTTTTTCCTTGTATTTCCTTTTATACTTCTTTCTTTTAATACAAGTTAGATGATTGAATCTTGTAATTTCAAAGGGGCCTGAAGAAGCTACTGAAAATTTATTGGATCGCTTTTGTAAATTTTACAGCATGCGTGGAAAATAAATAGACTCTGGTAGGAGATCTACTTCAAGTTGGATGTAATTCACAATACGTAATTCTTAAGTTACCACAACTTATCTAGTTCAATCACAAATTATAACAATACTCAAGGAACATAATTGGACCAAGATGGTAATACAACTACACGCATATCCTGAAAAATAGACCGTTTAAAGATCAAGCACATAAATAGCTATAAAAACTTTCATGACACTAGGAAACTAGGGCATGAACTAAGAGATAGTGGATGAATAGATTATCATGGTCCCAACTCTTAAATAAAGCCAACATGTATTGCAACTACGAGCAAAGCCATTCTATTACAGATTTCTCGATTGACATAGGAAGGCTTTCACTATTTCCATCCTATAGGTCACTCTCATGCCTTTCTTTTTTCGTATGGATAGATGTTATAGTGTCTAGGCATAGAGGAACCAGTGGCCTCCCAATCCTCCAACCTTTACTAAGTCCAAGCTCGAGCCATATAAGCGTCTGACATGTCTTGAATAGCATGACAAACTCGTCTTCTGTCATCTATGGTCTTTTTCTCTGCTGACAAATAATTTTTCATGGTGTCTACTCAGTGCCTTCTTTCATTAATGATAATTAGCCCAACTATCAGTTATTTCTGCACTAGATAGTTCCAGGAGCTTGGAGACAGTGTCCTATATGATGAAGTCTTTGGCCCGCCTACTATATTAAGCTTACCAATGCAGACTTATTTTTTTTTGTTTTCTTGTTTCTATATTTACTCTCCTTATATGATCCTGTGTTGGATTTCCTTTAAGATGATCTGTTCAGGGATTTAGTATCACAGTTTTGGCAGGAGACCACCCGAGTGATAAATGCCATTTCAATATATTTGGATTTTTTATCGAAAGGCTCACGTGTTCTGTATTGAACTATTATTTGAAATATGGAACATTTAAATTTCTCTTGTAATGTTTTTGGGTGTTTATGACTTCTAGTAGGTAGTGATTTCTCTAACTATTGTACGCTTCGTAAGTCATGCCTTTGTTGATCCACCTTGTATCAAAACTATTATAGAGACATCCTGCAACCTTATTTGTTTAAATTATATCTTCAATGTGCCCTGCGTGTAGGCTACATTAATTATTTATTTATTTATTTTAAATTGAAAGCCTAACAAGTGCAGATTTTCATAAACAGTTGGCCGTGAATTTGAACTCAAGAGCCATGCTTGCTCTAATACCAATACCATGTTGATCCACCTTATCTAAAAGTTTAAGTTGTTAGATAAGGACAAACTTATTTATTTAGAGCCTGCTTGAGCCCCATTTTTTTTTTTTTTTGCCCAAAATGCAATTTGGAATAGTGTTTTGATGGAGAATGCGGTGTTAAAAAATAAGGAAAAAAAGAAGATTAACTCTGCCAGAAATGACTCTAAGTTTCCTTTCAAATTATAATGTATTTATTTTATTACGCTATGGGGAGAAGTTGAACTGTAAATCTATGCGTCACTAACTGTTTCTGAAATTTTTTAATCATCGTAACCAAAATTTGTCATTTGAAAGAGCTTTTAGTGTTTTGATTTCCCCAATAAGCATTTCTTTGAAATTTTTAGAAACTCGATCAACGCATGCAATGCATGTGCAGCTTAAAAGTAATCACGATCACGATCGTGATTGTAAGATTGTCTTTCTAAATCAGCATTCTCTATCACTTAACGGTGTCAAGTGATTGAAGATGATGTTTTCCTATGTGCTGAAATTTTAAGAAAGAATAGTTATACAGGCCAATGTCACATTATTTTGGAAAGCAATTTCTTTTTCCCGTTTATTTCTCAATGCCATGTCTTCCAAAAAGGCCTTGTTTCCCATTATTTCATCTAACTTTCAGAGCGGTGCTACTAGTTAACCTTGCATTTCTTTTAAATTGGGATCAAAAGATTATAATTTGATGTTCATAATAGAGGTGTGAAAGCTTGTATGATCATGTGCTCCTAGCTAATGCCTTCTACATATATCAGAGTTGCCGACGGGCGGCGATCTTTAATCCTTGTAGTTTTCATTGGTGGGGTAACATTTGCAGAGATCTCTGCACTTCGTTTTCTCAGTTCCCAGGTATACTCTTAATTCTCAGCCATAAATGGTATGAAATCGTACCTTCTTCGTTTCTTTCTTGCAAGTACTTAATAATGTAAAGTGTTATGAAGTAATATTAGAGTGCGAACTGTGGGATTATATCGAATTGTTCTTAAACTTATAAAATGAGATCAGTTTCTTTTATTTTGGTTGTCACGCCGTCTCAATGCAATTTTTCCGCAGGAAGGAATGGTGCATGATATTATTGTAGGAACAACAAAAATAGTCAACGGCCATACCTTGATTGAAACCTTTATGGAGTAATTGTAACAGTAAAGACAGCACTTCATTTGATGTTCTGTTCTCTAGTGAAAACTTGAACTAGCTTTCATTGTTTGAGAAGGAGTATTCTGGATACAAACTATTTATTCAAGAATTGTGCTACTTGTACATCACCCCTTACACAAGGAGTGACATAATGAACAAGTGGCGCCTCCTTATTGGAGGGGCACGGAGCAAGACCGAATATAAATTTGGGCAATTTTTTATGGAATGTCGAGAAAAGACATTTCTTCCAATTTCATCTTAATTTTATTTTGACGAGATTCACCCATTAAAAAAGAAAAGTTTCGATTATCTAAATTTTACTTATAAACAAACACGTTCTTGCACGAGAACCGGCGACTGTCCGGCACAAGCCTTGCGACCTGCAAATTGAAGAGAAGGTTCTCCTTCCAGTGTTAGGTACAAATAAGTTTTCCTCAATTTTTGTTTCTAGCATACATACATGCTTTAGATTCTTACTAGATTTCCCTCAATTTAGTTAAGGTTGAGCTATAGGGTTTCCAAATGAATTGTTAAGAAATTTTTTTTTCTGTATAATAGATTTTCTTTCCTGATCAATTGGTAAATAAACTCGTAGGCGCAGTTGGTTCACTGGTTGCGAAATATCGTGGAGGTGAGAAACTTAATGTTTAGCTGTTTTTTTGTTTATGATTTTAAATAAGCGTTGAGGTCCTGAAATGCTCAAGCATGACATCTGTTTTTATATGGTTTTTGGCTTGTGGAATGCTAAGGAATTCGTGTTTTTATGTATCGTTGAATACACTTATTCATTATTGAATGTAGGCATGAACTTTGCAACTATTACGATTTTTCAGATTCAAATATATGGGCTGATGTGTTTCAGTGAAAATTATTTTAATTTCAGATACACAATGCTTCAGTTGTTTCTCTCTGAGCCGAAATGGATCGATTGCAATGCTAATGATGAATCTGCTAAGCAGAGAAAATCTCTTCTGAGTGAGTTGGAATCAGTTATCCAGTCATTGCTGTCTTCAGGTGGCCGATCAGAAGCTCGGCTCTGGCTTTGCAACACTCTTTCGGGAATAAGTTCTATTAGCCTGCACCGCCAACATGAGCTATTTTTGAGCTTACTGACATCCAAGCCAACAAAGCAACACTTAGCAGCACAACTTCTGCAATTGATATTCGATAAGAAGCCACAAAAGGTGGGACCTATTATAGCCAAGAAAAGTTACACGTTACAGGATTTCTTCAGAGGCAAGTAACTTCTCAAGCTGAAAATTCAATCTGCCTTTGAATAAAGTACTTGCAGATTCAGTTCTTTGTAGGCTAGTAAAAATGAGTGGGTTGGTATCCTCGATAGACTTTCATGTAAACATTTGTTCTCTCATGGGATTAACTGGACCTTGATTTTGGAAGCAGATTGCTGATTAATGAATAATTGAATGTGCATCTTGAAACATGATTTACGTGTAGTATTTAAACCACCCAAAAGAAAAAGGTATTATTGTTACATGGA